GTGTTAACTAATACGTCAGTCATTTCCTTTTCCTCTCTGACCTCTGTGTATAAAAAGAATTGGCAGATACTTATCTCACATCATCACTCACACTTAAGACAGCAAGAGAAGCTGTAAAAGGAAGAGAGAAAGACTGCACTAAGATGAAGGTGGTGTTTGCACTTGTTGTCCTGCTGCATCTCTGCCACAGTAACGACAACAAGAAAGTGTACACAGAGATTATAAAAGGACTGAATGAACTGAAAGAACTGGGCCCAGCCAACATCTCATTGGTGAGTTAAATGCATTTAAATGATCACACTACAGCTTATTTACTTTGCTGTCATTTCTTGAGTGAAAATTATATGTTGTAGTGTAACATGGTTTTATGAAATTGAAACCTATACATTTTAGCTAAACATACTATATATACTTTATGTAAAAGTCCAAAATCTGGGCAAGAGTTGGAAATATTGGCTATAACTCCCTGTTCAGCACATCAGTTCCATGCTGCATATTGGAACTATTTTAAATTGCAACGTCTCTATATAAATGTAGTTCCATAGCACTTTAACATCCAATGATTAATAAACTAATCCATTCATTTTCTGTCCTTATAGCCAAGGGTGCTTGTTCCATCCATGAATATGAAAACAGATCAAGTAAGTACTTCATCTTTTCTGTCTCTATTGCTCTTCTTGTAACATTGAACTATGACACGTGCATAATATTTGACACAATATCCTCACAAGGCCTCGTCATTTTGCTATTGCAGTCTTCCTGTGTGTGGCGCTATGTCGAAGAGCTGAAGGGCCTTCTTGGCAATGTGACGGTGAATAAATCGAACAAGCATATTATCCAAGGACTTCAGGCGAACCTTAAGTTCCTGAATCGAACGGTGAGGCAACAAAAATATGACGCTGCAATTTTTTTGACAGACACTGCAGTCTTACTGTTAACTTTTGTGCATTCTGCAACAGAAAAAATATAGACGAGAATGAACCCCTAACCGTCTCTGTTTCTCTTCCAGGTTCAACACAATTGCACAATGATTCCGAGCCGAAACATTAAGCGGCATTTCAATCCATACATAAGTTTCTTCAGGAAACTTAACTCAATGAAAACAATTCAAAAATGAAAAAGAAAGTTTTATACAGGGCTGCCTCAGTTTTTACTGAATACAAAGTTATTTTAAATGAATGTATTAGATATATATTTTTATGCAGTTTCCAACTCAGAAATGTTCTACATTATTTATCAGTATTATTTATGTCCATTTATCTCAAAATGTATTTATTTATTTATTTCAATACAACTGTTGATTCTCTGAAGACATTTCCATTGTGATATTCACAATGTGAAAATAACTTATTTTTTCTGAAATGTTGTGCTGCTGTTGTCAAATAAATCAACTACTTTCATAATTTTGTCTCACTGAGTATTTGTAAAATCATACACTGCTATGTTTGAATCAAATCAAATCAGGTTTTTAATTATAAAGCACATTTTAAAACGATTTTTGGTCGAAACCAAAGTGCTGTACATGCAAATAATAAATAACATATTACTACATTTGCAAAGAAGAGCCACATTGTCTGGATGCCAAAGAGAAATGAATCACTTTCTCTTTCATCTATTCTTGTCGTCACGGGAGCAGTAAAACTCAACATGTGTGCGCATGCCAGCACGCAAATGGACTCACGTGAACCTACTAAGATCTGCATGACTGATACATACACACAGCTGTGTCCGTACACATGCATGCGCAAACACAAAAGAAGTAGCAAAAAGAGCTGAGGTTCTCAAACATTTCTGTTCCTAAAACACCCGCTTTGCCCTCAGCTGTCTTACTCATCACTCCTGGGTGTTCTGTGGATGGCTGTTTACCTGTCATCCCTCATCAGACAAAAAAACGCTCAGAAATGTTTTCATGACTTTATTGCTGCTGCAGGGGGGATCTTAAAGATGTTTGAGCAGAGGTCTCCATAAGAGCGTGTGGTGATTGACACACTGTTTGAAAAGCATCTGCAGTCAAGGGTTCAATTGTCTGTTATTTTAAATCCATATGTCTATAAAGTCATTCACACTCATTACATTGTTTGAAAACAATTCAGAGGATATACAGTAGCAGCCTCTGTGAATGGTTACCTTTGTCACACAAGTTATAAGAGCGGCAGCTGCACCTTTGAACACAGAGAAGTATCAGAGCAGAAGGCTGGTGGAGAGAGACGCTCTGAAGTAGACCCAAAATGCACCTCAGCTTGCCCGTCTGTCCCTGGTCTCACCTCTGACCTTTGAACTCTCGAACCTGTCCCACTGCTGTAATTTGATGTCCTAACAGCAAGGCAGCATTACGCAAAAAGACCTGGGAGCAGGAAAGAACGGTCCATATGTTTAAGAGAGAATGGCAACAAAGAGCACATGGTCATAAACAGAGGAAGAGAATGACACTGATATTTAAATAATTCACAGGACTTAAGCCTATTTTTTAAGTTAAACGTAAAGGGAAATATTTTGTGTAATGTACCGAGAGTGAGATAAGAAGCAGGTTTCCGTCTGTCCAGGCTGCAGAGAGAAGTGGGATAATGTTAAGCGATTGGAAACAGCGGTTCGAATTGCAAAAAGGAAAACATATTTTTCCAAAATGTCGGGCTAAATGCTCTTTCAGCAGATTTCCCATCTAGCTTTCCTCTCTGTTTGTGTTGACAGCGTTGAGTTTCCTGCTCTGCTCAATACACTTTTCAGTGTAAAGCATAGAATTATATCATTATCCCTTTTTATTTCTATATGCATATTCTGTTTTGTGAGGGTTTATAATTTAAAAGAATCAAAGGTGTATATGATCAAAGACTGAAATATATTCCTTTTACAATCACAAATTACAAACAATAACCCATGAGAAGCTCGGAGCAGAAAATATCAAGTATTTTTGCTTAAATTAAATCCCTTTTACCTAATATCAGTTGATTATCAAAATGAATAAGAATTTATTTTTGTACAATTGTTATTAGATTTCCTCTATTTCTTTGGGATTCATATTTGAAAAGCTACATTTACATCTCAACTGAATACAAAAACAAGCATTCAAGTATATGGCTTTTTCATTATTTCATTAAAAAAAATCTCTATCATCATATTAAAGAAAGATATGGTACTTTTTGTTTTGTAACAAATTATGTTCTTCCTTATTGTATCCTCAATCCTTTTACTCCCATGGCTTTATCCCATCTATTTAACGTCATAGTGTGGATGCTTGTGAAGGAAAAGGGTAAAAGCTATTTCTTCTCCTCCTGTCAAAACTACTCACATCAATGTAAGGTGACAGCTGGCATGTCACGATTGTTTCCGCATCCCATGATGCTCTGCATGGAAGATACCAGCTTGAACCGAGTAAAACTGTGGGCTGATAGACGTTTCCAGGATTTATTGGTCAGAGGCAGAGCAGACGGAAATGATGACTGCGGCTGACGGTGACAATGGTCTGCACATGAAAACCTTGCCACAGGTCAATGAAGAATATTGGCTTCTGATCAAATCCTCTGTCTGGTTATAAATCTGTTTTATGTCAAATCTCCATTCAATATAATCCTGCACAGGAGGGTTTATATCCCTGCAGCCTGATACCCCTCTGTAGGCACAATTGTTCTCTTCCTCCATTAGGTGGCCTCAGCGACCCACTGGCCATGTATGTTTGGCCCTTGTACCTAATTTTTATAACCTGCATCTTAATTTAATTAAACTAAACCACAGTGCAGATTAAACTGGGTCAATTGAATTGAATTGAGATAAAGCACGAATGATAACAGCTAGGTGTATTCAGCACCATGCTGTTTTAAGCCTCTAAACTCTGCCACTCAAGAGCCTGCAATGTGGCACATGACAAGTCCCTCCTGTATCGTGGTGCATATAAGCAGTAAAGTGGACTTAATCGCCGAGGGCCCGAAGTCGCATGCTCTCATTCACTTTGTCTTGAATGGGACAACGTCAGCGCGCCGGAGTGAGGCTGTGCCGCGCGGCGCACAGACAAGAGACCCGCCTCAGAGCGAGCAGGGGCTGCGGGAGGACGCAACGAGAGAGGCGACGGCTGAGTGACAACTACAGTTGTGTGTGGTGTATTTTATAACAGTCAGCGATGTGGAGGCCATCGAGGATATTATCGGACTCTTATCTAGTTTGTTTTTGTCGAACATGAAGACTGGGTGCCCTTTTGGATTGACTTTACGCTGTTAAATTCTCATGGAGGCGACGGGACGTTTATTTTGAAATGTGAAAATCAAGCTACAGCTTGCTGCGACCCCATGAGTAAGAGGTGAGAAAGTCGTTATTGTTGTCATGCATGTAGGGAGGTGTGACTATTTGGTAATCACCCATTCAACAACAATGCTTGCATGGCAAACTTCATTTTTATCCCGTTTGAAATCTGATCATTGGCAAAGCAACACACGTCACACATTTCCTTTATGGCACACACACACACACACGCACGCACGCACGCACGCACGCACACACACACACACACACACACACACACACACACACACACACAATATTATATCAATAAGAAAAAACAAAATAAAGTATTTTAACCAATTTGCTTTTATTTAAATTAATGCAAGACATCCAATCTTGTATAATTCCTTTCTTCAATCCGCAGGGCTGCTGATGACTTTAATTAGCAGACAGAGGCTACCTAAAGTGTGGGATCTACAAACTCCAAGACAAAGAAAGAAGAGCCCATGGCGGTCATTATCAAGGAACTAAGTTAACACTACCTCTTCAGTTCTGCAGCTCGAATAATGTCAAATCTAATTTATAAAGTCAGTGGGCTAATGTCCTGCCAAGAGCATGTTTGCCTCAAACATGTCAGCCCTCTTCATACATTTGGAAGACACAGTGATGGAGATTGTTTGCAAAGCTGTTGCACAGAAGCCTCCCAGTTTTGAATCCTGTGGATATAATGTAACACGGCCCTTCAGCATGACTTAATAAACAAGCTCTCCCCAACCCTCGAATGTTCAGGGATGGATCTCATGAACCTTACAACTGTCATCGACAACGGGTTTTTGGACGAGGCTCCGTCGAGCCGCGTCCTGACTGGCTGTTTCCTCTCGTTGCTCATCCTTACCACCTTGCTGGGAAACATTCTTGTTTGTGCCGCCGTCACCAAGTTTCGACATCTACGATCGAAGGTCACCAACTTTTTTGTGATCTCGCTGGCCGTGTCAGACCTCTTGGTTGCCATCTTGGTGATGCCGTGGAAGGCAGTGACGGAGATCGCCGGGTTCTGGCCATTTGGCTCTTTTTGTGACACCTGGGTTGCATTTGACATCATGTGCTCCACCGCGTCCATTTTGAACCTTTGCGTGATAAGCCTGGACCGCTACTGGGCCATCTCCAACCCCTTCCGCTATGAGAGGAAGATGACACCCAGGATGGCCTATGTGATGATCAGTGTGGCCTGGACTCTATCTGTGCTCATTTCCTTCATCCCGGTGCAGCTCAACTGGCACAAGGCCCAAACCAAATCTTACGCCCCTGACACCGAGTCCTCCTCAGACTTCAATGATACATCTTACCACAGCCCAGAGAACTGTGACTCCAGCCTGAACAGAACCTATGCCATATCCACCTCCTTCATAAGCTTTTACATCCCCGTGGCCATCATGGTGGCCACCTACACCCAGATATACCGCATTGCCCACAGACAAATCAGGCGGATCTCTGCCTTGGAGCGAGCGGCCGAAAGTGCCAAGAACAGACATGACAGCATGGGTGGAGGCTCCAGCATGTCAGAGTCCGAGAGCTCCTTCAAGATGACGTTCAAGAGGGAGACCAAAGTGCTGAAGACTCTGTCGGTGATCATGGGGGTGTTTGTTTGCTGCTGGCTTCCGTTCTTTATACTCAACTGCATGGTGCCCTTCTGTGAGCAGTCAAGCGGAGGGGAGGCTTTCCCCTGCATCAGCCCCACCACGTTTGACGTGTTTGTGTGGTTCGGCTGGGCTAATTCCTCCCTCAACCCCATCATCTATGCCTTCAACGCAGATTTCCGAAAGGCCTTCTCCATCCTGCTGGGCTGCCATAGACTGTATCCAGGAGGCCACAACATAGAGACGGTCAGTCTAAACAAGAAATGAGTCATGACTCTCTCACAGTACTGACTCATCCTTAATGCTACGAGTCCTAGCGTTCCTGTGCAGGCCGGTCTGATGGACTTCAAACGAGGACACTGCCCTTTGTGCTGAGTGTGACTGAAGAACACAGCGACCCTACATGTACCCGTGTTTGCATTATGCCAGTGGCCCGTCCATGTGCCGACGGTCAGAGTGAGCTAGCCGTGCTCACCGTGGTCGCTGCACTGTCTTCAAGGGGGGAGACGCTCCTGAAAGGGTTTTTGGGGGATTGCGATTAAGACTCTTCGCTGTTGTGCCAGGAAGCTGGGAGAGCCCACGGCCCTGTTAAAGATAATCCAGTGACTGGGCAGCACACTCCCTAATGCTGTCAGACACGGCTCTCTTCAATACCATCACACACGTACACAAACACAAACACTGTCAAAACATGCTCCTCCAAATTCAGTGTAAATGCAGCACCCTGCCTGCACTCTACGACAAATTACATGACAGCACACGGAAATACTGTTACTCATTAAATTAGCATCCCGCACTCTGCAAGGAGTTCAGTGGAAAAAGCGTCAAACCAAATGAGGTTCTAACTAGATGAGCATGTAGGTAGAGGGTGACATGTGACTAAAGATTATAGCACGAATGAAAGCATCAGAGTTTACATACCACTCCATCGATTAACGATGAGGAGTTGACACTATTGATGGAAGTGTTTCATTTTGAAACTGATCTCATTGCTGATACTGCTTCACACTTTACATCTTATCCAAATCTCGATACAACTTTAAACCAAATTTACTCAACAGACACCTCATAAATTATTTGTTTTACTGCTTGAGAGTGTTTTATGGATGTCCCATATTACTTTGTGTGCCCTGTATTTTTCATTAACAACGGTCAATGACCTCCTAAAGGTTTTGCTCGACTTGTGGTGTCCTTGACTTCTATGCTTACTTAGCAGCTGATAAAGAATTGCTAGTAACTGAATTATGTTTGGATAAATCACTTTCAATTAGCTCTTCAAAGTGAATCATTCAAGGACATCTAGGTTAATAAAAAAACATGGGTGTTGTATTTATAGGTTCGGCCATCATTCCTATCAGTTATGATGACAGTGTAGTCCCTAAAGTATTTTCTGACATATTTGAACATTGATATTATCATTATACAGCAGCAGCCATTCTATCAGACCAGGCTTACACCAACACACTGTCAGGTTGGATTATTTAAACAACTATATTTGGAGATATAATGTAAATGATGATGAGATGTATAATGTCACTGATAATCCTTGATCACACAATGTCTGTATTCATTGTTTCCTTATTTGTGAGCTGAGGGCTTGTTTGAAATGTTATGGTCTGAATATCTGAGTGGAAGTGTCTTTTATCTCGTCATTTCTTTTTTTTTTTTTTCAATTTCCAGGTGTTTCCAAATCTCAGCAGTTAAAGAAATGGTAATCTGGGATCAGCATCCATTAACTTGACACAGAGGAACCTGGTGTGTTTAACTTAAACTTGGTCACACTTTGGATCATTCAAACGAGTATCATGAGCAAATTAGAGACTTTAAGAGATTCTGGTGGTATAATCGGTCTTAATCCCTGAAATGTTGAACTTTTCCTTTACCTCATTAACTACAATATTATCATGACATAGAGATATTATGGCTGAATCTTTTCAAGACCAAAGAAAGGGACTCTGCAGTATTGAGTAAGCACTGTATGTTGGACTGTGAAGAACAGGATGTATTGCCATCATCATCATCATCATCATCATCATCATCATCATCATCATCAACAGTTACCTCTTATTTGATGTAAAGTATTTATTTTTGTATGTGCTAAATGGCGTCATCACTTATCTATGGTGAGCATTGATGACACAAACAAAGCTGTAGGTGGTTGTACTTGGCTAAAATCTTTTTAGAAGTTGTTATAGAGGTCCGACAAATAAATACTCTATTATGTTACATTCATAACAGTTGTGAAGTGTCTGCTTTAGCATCTCAATGCCCATCTTAATAAAAGTGTATGTGTCAATTATGGTGAAATCGACTGCGTGGTGTATGTGATTGTCTGTACAGATCTACAGATAAAACTTCCTGAAGTACAAACTTAAAGGGACCTGCTGTTGGAACGTCCAAAATCTCACTCTTGCGTTACTCTGGTGTTCATGTTTGTTCTGTTTGGCGATGAATCTACACCATTAGCAAAGTGAAAGGCCCGATCTGGAGTCTGAATAACATGGAATAATACCCCCTTTATCAAATTATTTTGGCTTTGTTTCATTAATTTGCTGAACTGCTGTTGTTTTCAGGCTCAAATGATTGACTGAACTGTTGCAACAATACCGAAAAACTAAACACACATTCTGATTCACGGCTGAAATTAGGAGGTGATTTTACATTTCAATTTTCAGGAGCTTTGTACATCAAGGATGCACCTGTCACATAAATGGACACTGCAGTTGAGTAAGAGGGTGATGCCCGTAGTTGAAGTGTGGAGGGAGAACAGCCTCAAGGACGAGATTTCTTGGTAAAACATTCCCTCAGAGATCTGCCAGCTATTTTGAAAATATAAATGAAATCAAAACCTAAACTGGTTTAGAGTTAAGATTCTCTTTACTAAAGCTAATGAGAATGTCTTTTGATATGTCTGCTCTTCAATCATCTCATTAATCTGAATTTAAGTTGTCGTGTCATACACTTTAGTTCAACTAAACATCACAATTCATCTGCAGATTATTTTCCAGATTAATCGATTGGTCTAAGAAAAATAGTAAACAAATGGCCGACCCAAAGTACAATATGATGTAAAACTGATAAAAATGCTAATATTTAAGGGGTTCAAAAACATTTTCTGCCATTTTAGCATGTAACAATTCACTGATTTTTGACTAATTGATTACTTTGCAAATCAATGAAGCTTAAATTAAAAGTGATTGAAGAGTCTGAACCACTGTCAATAGTAACCGTCAAAAGATTTATTAGAAGGATTTCTTTTATGAAATTAAGTTAATGCTCATTAGAAATCTGAATAAGTATTATGCTATGATGGTTTCTCCTTCACACAAACAGAGGTGGAAGAAGTCATCAGATATTGTACTTAATTTAAAGTACAAGTACCAAAGTGCACACTCAAGTAAAACTCCTGTATTCAAAATGTTAATCAAGTAAAAGTGCAAAAGTATTGGCATCGAAATATATTTATAGAACCAAAAGTAAAAGTACTCACTATGCAGATTGGTCCATTTCAGAATCATGTATGTTTTGATTATAATTATTGATGTATTAATCAGCTTGTAAAGGTGGAACACATTTTAATTACTTTATTTACTGCTGGGTATCATGTGAATTTAATCCAGGTTTAACTAAATTCTTATTTAAGTGTTGATTATATATATTTATTGTAGTTAATCAATATCTGCAAAGTAACTAAAGGTACTACATAAATGTAGTGGAGTAAAAGTACAATATTTACCTCTGAAATGTAGTGGATTAGAATTACAAAGTAGCATAAAATGGACATCATTGTACTTAAGTACAGTACTTGAGTAAATGTACTAAGTTACTTTACACCACTGCACAAAAACGCACACAGAGTTCTCCTCTTAAGCCCAGTTTCTCTGGGCCCCGGACTGTCCTTGCCTCTGTGAAACCTCCTCAAGCGTGCCACGGGAAGAAGCAGCAATTAATTTGACTGACATCATTCAGAGTGATGGCTGAGGTGGCGACAAGACAGTGTGTATGTTTATGTGTAGTGCAGCAGCAGCGCTATTATCACCTGCTCCAGCACCCAACCCAGTTCCTGCAATGTCACCCGCACTTTGCAATTAAACACAATTTGTTTTATTTTGCTGTCCTTTTGTTGCAATGGAGCTCTTGAGATTTTCACATCAATTCTGTCTTTTTAGATTGGCACATCAGAGAAGAGATGTAAGACATGGCAACATCAGATGATGCTAATGACTGGCTCTGGGGAAATGACTTACTGAGACAGGGAGGGAGGAAGAAAGGGGCAAAGAGAGAGACAGGGAGTCTTATGTAACTATCAAGCAATGGTTACTTAAAAAGGATGCTCTGTAAATATCACATAAGTCCCACCAAAGTCAGACTGCTGTCACATCCATAATGAAGTTTCCTCTGTGGTTACATGCCGTTTGCTTATAGCCAGACCTGGCCACGTGAAAGTACATATTTAATGTCCTTAACGATTTATTTGTCACCCTTTCTCTCTAGTCTGCGTCTTGGGGAATTAAAATGCAATTAAAGAGTTTGCAATAATCTGTATTACTCTCTATTAAATATGTATTATTCGCAACTGGTGGAGCTATCATAATTGCACTCGAGCCTAATGCATTTTTAATACTGACACAAAACCAAGATAAGCATAATTGAGAGCGAGCGTGTTGGTGACTCCATCCAAAGAGTGTCAACACAGTAACATGCTGACAGAAGTGAACGCACTTTGCATTTGAAAAATGTTGTTGCTGTTTGTCCCTATCTGGTCTCCTTTTTTGGGTTAAACAGATGCTCTATATTCATTTAACTGATGGAGACATTAGACATCAACAAGCACACATCAGGCCACGTCTGCACTCACTCCTCTCGAGGAAATGTGTTCATCTTTGTACACCACAGCATTCATTTAAAAACTATTAAACAAATGTCACCCTGCGCTTCAGAAATAGACACGGGATTGCACATGTTTTGACTTTTAGTGAGGGTCCTTTGGGGCAAACCCCTTCATTGCTCTCCCTAGTTTACTCCTGCTCTTCATTTCTCTTTCTTATCAAACCCCTCTGCTCTCTTCCTCCACCCTCGCTCTGTTTACTGTTTGTGCTGCGGGCAGCTGGAAGCGCCGTGTTGCCATTCGTCACTCCAACTGGCTCCAGCGGAGAGGACAGGACCCCTGACCCCACCACTGGAAAAGGAGCAAAGGAACGAGGGGATGTAGGGAATAACAGAGGGCGCAGAGAGAGCAGAGAGTTATCACTGAGGACACGGAGCGA